TTAAGGGTCCATGGGAACTTAATGATGTGCTCATTCAGGACTGCACTTAGTGTGCAAACTAATTCATGGCCATGCAGAGACACTACTTACTGTGAATGGAAAGTTTACAGTTGCAAAACAGTCTTCACTCTGAGATAGATTGCTAATTCCTTCCTTTATCATCTCAACTGATTAAAAACAGAAAAACAGCCCTTGAGTAGTATCAGTCACCTACTTACACTTTTCTTTGATTCTATAAAGCCATTGTTGATTATGCTGATGTCATGAGAAGGGCCTGCGTGCTCCATGACCAGGAATTCCTGTGGAAGAAATGGAGTGAAAACACCCTCCAAGATGCTACCCCAATTTCTGTTCACTAATCATTTACACAGTCATGCAGGAGAAGGACAGGCCAGGAGATGTCATGGACTCCAACGTCAGTAGCTTCCTGGAATGTGCTTTGCAGAATCAGGAAGATCAGATACCCAGAGCTGCAGACCTAGCAGATTTCTTCATTCTTTGCTGCTCTGATAAATCATTTATTAGAACAGCCTTTTTACATAATCCCTGGGTGGAGAGAGAAAAAAAAAAAACAACATCCCCCCCATAAAATAGATTTATCACAAAATCCTGTCCTCCTACCAACCATCTTCAGACCAGAACATATATTTCTCTGATTATTAATTAACTGATGCACAGGAACAGCTTCAAGCTTTTTAACCTCTCCCTTTCTCTTTGTCCTTCAAGAGGTAGATAACAATGCAGAGGCGGTGTTCAAAATGCAGATAATTTCTTGAGTAACTGTAGTACTATCAACATGCTTTGAGCCCTATACTCATGGACTCAAACATTAAAGACATTCAGAAAGCAAGTATTTAAGCTATTTTCCCACTACTTACATTCTGTTCCTTGCCATACATGTTTAAACCTGCACAGCATCATTAACACTGCTGATTTTGACATGGACAAAGATGATTAACAGCTAATATTGCATATCACAACAACAAAGACATACAATATACCAGTAGGTATTTGACCTGTAAAGAGAAAGGAATACGATATTGCCAGCACAGCTTGTCTGTCTGCCTATCTGCCTATCCCTTAGTACTGTGACATCCCAACTCTCAAAACAAGGCATAGGTTTTCTTCTTTTTGGAGTTCATCCAAATATCTTCAATAATATGAAATACAGCTCCACATAAATAACAGGAAAAGGGGGAGAGCCAAATGCACCAACAACATCTGAGGATGTCAAGCCTCTTGAAACAAAAGCGGTGAAATGAAGACACAGGAATTAGCTGCTCTGTCCCTAGGATGTGCTCACAAGAAAGATGCACAATTATTGGCATTTGCCTCTCACCCCAGCCCCCCAAACCTCAGCAGCTAGCCAGTGGGGATTTTTATATTATAGCAGTGGATATCAGGACAACTATGGAGAAAAAAAATAACAATCCAAATGTAGTCCTAATCCATAGGTAACTAATACCAATAGCATTAGAGTACAGCTCGCAGCTTCATTATCTGGTCCAAATGAAATATAGTGAGCAAATGCACTTCTGATCTCTCTTATTAGCCCCATTTGTTAAAATGCTGTGTTATTTACAGCTTTGCACAGTGTAAGGAAATGGCCTTAGAATTCCATCTCGAAATCAAAGTGATGATAAAAACTAGTTTAGCTTTGTGAGCTTATATAAAGGGAAAGTTCTTACAAAGACACAACTGTGCTAGCATCCCAGCACCAGGGCTCATGACCCAACTAAATGTCCACTCTTGGCCAAAGTGGATTTTTATCATACTTGGCAGCATTTCTGGTGGGGTTTGCATGCATTAGGAGTTTGATTCAGCAGTTGACATCGTTTTGAGGACTGATTCACCTAGGCATTAGTCAGTTAACAGCATATTACTACCTTGAGACATCACTCCCAACTACAGAAACAAGTCCCACAATATATTTAAGCTAGATGCCAGTTTTCATTGCAGTCAACACTGGTCCCTGCTACACAGCCAATGGAACTTGATTCATCTAGGCACATCTAGGAGTGTTCTGAAAAAAAAGGAAGAAATCATAGAACCATAGAATCAAGTAGGTTAGAAAAGACTTTTCAGATCATTGCATCCAAACATTACCCCTGTACTGCCACTGTCTTCTTCCTTGTACATGCCTAAAAGGTGAGCTGGTAGGAAAAGCCTGGATTCACTTTGTCTTTTAAAATGTGTATATGACATTTAATAAATGTCATTCACTATTTCAGAATATTTCAGAGAGGATGCATCATGAAACCTAGAGCAGCTGCTCAGCTACTTCATATCCTATACTCCACTGACTATACTGGCTAGACCTACACTCATTATTTTAGGATCCCAAGATGACTTGCTCACAAACGGAAGCATGTGTAGGCATACTCTATATGTGCACATTCAGTCAGTAGGAGGTGCCTTGCAACAGGACCTGTAGAAATCAAAGAGAAGAAATCAAAGTTCCCAGGCAAGCTAAGTTCCCTATAGACATGATATAAACTGCAGCCAACTCAGCTTTGATATTTGATAGCTGTGTATGTATTAGTAAAGTAAACATACCTGGCACTTTCCCCTAGCATTGGGGCCAGCTGGCACTGAATGGCCCACACCCAAACTATTAAATTCTCTCACTTTCCAGAATATCATGGCCACATCCAAGCTAACTAATGAAAGCAGCCTCTGTTCTGTGCTAATAGTCAGACTTTGTCCAGGAATTGTTTAAAGTTAGGCACAAGCCAAAAGTATGGCAAGGACCATTTAAAAATTCAGTCATACATATGGTTTGTTTTCAGTTTATCTGAACTTCTCTGGCACAGTTTTAGTTTACTTTTATAGATGTACCTGACAGGTCTTGGACAGGAGTATTAGCAATCCAGAGGTGTTTTTAAAAAGAACTGGTTTTCACGACATCCTGTATTGAGAGATGTGGGGTAGCTAGACAGCAAATTTCAATTTTAAATTCAAGTAAAACATTTAGAAGGATGCTTCCAGCAGTATCTAAAGACTGAATCAACGCAAGTGAAATCAGGAGGTGTTTAGTTTATTCCTTTGCTGAGATCAAGTCACAGGACCTTGTTGACTAATAGATTATTCAGCTAGTCAGTTGTACACTGGGAACATTACCAGGTGCTTACTGGCTAAAAAGTGATTGCAAAAGCAGATCCATTGCCATTGAATAATACTACAGCTCATTACTCACAATAACTCTCCAGTTTTCTGTCTGGAGATTGATGACTGCTGTGAGGCTTGAGCAACACTTTTCCTCACGTCTTCAAGCTGCAGTGTTGTTGATACCTCCTCATCCAGGTGGCTGGCAGGAAAGCTGCATGGACAGCCAATTACTTGGAGCCTTGGCTTCATGGAGAGGACAAAGAGGGATTCCTGTTTATTCGATGGGCCTCATTTTTAAAGCCACATTTGACATACTCAGTAAAACTCTGTCTCACTTTGAGGCTAGGAGCATAAGTTTTATAATTTCTTATAAACTTATGCTATTAGCCAAAGCAAGGAATACAGCTTTAATGCAAGAGTGAGAGGTGTCTTTTGCAAATGGAAGCTACCCTGTGTCATCTGTGAGAGTAGGAGGAACTAGACCATGGCGGAGGTCCTGGAGGAGGTGCTGCTGAATGCATTTGCAGTACAGCCCAAGGCTGTAAGCCATGCCTGGTTGTCTGGAGCAGGTGTATACCTGGCAGCAAATGCTCAGCATTAGTTTTGTGAAGGGCTCTCAAACTGTCTCTTCATTTCAGCCTGACTGTTGAGACACACTGGGTTCCTAGGGCTGATTTGTGCCGCCAGAGCTTTGTAGGGGTGGGAAAACAGATGGCTTTGTCTGGACCACAGGCTGGTCTAGGCTAGTCTTACCAGGATTTGTGCTCAGAAATACTGTTGGCACACAGGGACATTTCTGGCAATGGTAGAAGAGGCAATTCTTATATAACGTGATGCCCCCCTGCCTCACTGATATCTCAGACCCATGGTCACTCAGCTAAAGTTATATACAGTCTGGCTAAATAAGGCCTTTTTGGGAGCTAACATCGGGGACAAGAAAAAAAAAAAAAAGGAAAAAGGAAAGAAAACAAACAAAAAAGGAACAAACCAAACACCCTTCCGAAAGCTGCATGGATTGGATGTATTGCATCCTGTGTGGTCCTGACCTATCTTGGGTCTTCTGATCTCCGGAGAGCAAGACTTCCATTGAGACAAAAAATGTCATTTCAGGTGGCCTGCAGGTACAATATTCAGTCACTATATGTTTCTACTGCTGGGTACACTCCACGGCTGATTGGATGGTTTGCTGGCAGGATACAAAACTACTTACGGAAACCATGTTAGGAAAGCAGCAGTGTTCATCTTTTGCAACTGCAGAGTCAACATAAAGTCTGCAGAAATTGCCAGTTAATAAAGCTCCTCATATTGCTTAAGTGGCCAACAATCAAACTATTCGTGCCAATGAACACCATAGTGGAGAACTTATTAAATTCACATTTTACTTATATTGCCATAATAAAGATGTAGCAGTAGGTGTAACAGGTTCCCCTCATAGTGAGTATTGGAAGGCAAAGCAAAGATTATGCTGGTGAGTGAAGGAGGGTATAGAGATTTACCCCAGTCATGATGGAGGTAAAAAGAGCAAGACAGTGCTTTTTGAGACTATGCATCATATCTTCTGACACCCCAGCTCAAATGTGACCCAAATCTTGTGTGTTCTGGTGCTGTGACACCAACATTTGAATCCTTGTGCTTCACATAATCTTGTGTCCAAACTGGCATCAGACCAGCACTACATCCTGGGACCCTGATCTGTAACAACCCCTCTTATCTTTTGTCCCCCATTGGCAACCATCCTCTCCTCACTCTCCTGCCCACACTCCTCCCTGCTTAATCCCTCCCTCCCACCACCTTCACCCCTTCCCCATGTTCATTCTCAGTGATCGTTGCATGTACTTGCCTTGGCTCCCTTCAGATCATTAAGCCCCCTGCCTTGCCTCATGTTTCAACAGGTTTTGTGAGTTTTGACAATCCTGCCAGTGCCCAAGCTGCTATCCAGGCTATGAATGGCTTCCAAATTGGCATGAAGAGGCTGAAGGTGCAGCTGAAGAGGCCAAAGGATGCTAACCGTCCCTACTGAAGAGCTGTGGGAACAACTGGATACAAAGCACTAGCACAGGTAACTGCATGGGGAAGAGGTGTCAGCTATAGTTGTAGCCTCTCTTTGTGTTGTAGACCCTCAAAAAACTCTGTGACTCTCTAGCTTCTACCTTTTCCACTTAGGCCTCTGGCTAGAGCCACACTCCACAAATATGCATGCACACATAAACCAGGAACCATTTGTGCGTGCGCCTCTTTAGAGAAAGAGGTGGAAGGATGCTTAACAAGGGATGAGCCAAGTTCCCCAACCCAAGGGCATCCTACATCTCTAGAAAGTCTTCCTGGTCACTAGAGGAGAGCCAGAAGCTGTCTTGATTCCACTCGCTCAGCCAAAGACAGCATTTCTGGTGGCTGAAGAAAATCTGCAATTAAGAGATGGGACTGAGCTGCAGTTTAATCCCAGGTGACTGGTCTGGGACAGTGTCTGTCTCAACAGCTCTGTGTTGCAAATGTTTCAAAGCATTCCTCATTCTTCATGCGGTATAGTCTGTATCCAATTTCATCCCAGCATAATAACTTTATGTAAATATGTCTCCCTGACAACTAAATAACCCCTGATTTCTTTCTTCCCAAGACCAAGAAATAAATAGAAGGATCCATGCTCACTTGTTCCTCAGTTAACGTTAACTTTGGTGTCTAGATGAAACCCAAGCAAAGGCAAGGAAGATTTGCTTGAGTGAGGACTTAGACAAATCTGAACAAGGGTCTTATTGTTAGAGTCATGTACTTTGTATTATTGGAAAGGAGCTGGCTTGACGCTCCAAGGGAACTTTTAATACATTTAACGGGTCAAAAATATCAGAAGCAGCAGCTTGTTATTTTGGAATCCCAATAATAAAAATGGAGATGTTTCCAAAAGTGGAAATATTTCCCATTACTGGCTGGATCTTCCATTAGAAAATTATTTGAGATGCAGAAATATAAAATTGCATGTTTTTGTTACACAGGCAGGAATTCTCTCTGTTGCTAAAACTGTCTAAAGATTTCACAATAAACCCAAACACCCAGCATGACCATAAATGCCAACAAGCACTTTGTACTCCCAAATTAGTGACAGCGATATGGGTTAGGTGACATTCCTAGGCCATTAGAGCTGTAATGTCTAAGATTCAGTGATTTTGATTCAGAACATTTTTGACCCATCTAAGGAACAGGCAGGAAATCCCTATCTTCAAACTTCCAACAGAACTATGAAGTGTTCTGATTTTTCACTGATATCTCCAGTATCTTTCTAAATTGTACTGTTTCAGTCTTCAGAGCAGTACCCTTTCCACTGATAATTAAAGAATGGGATGAAAATGTGTTTGAAAAAGTGCTGTCCTGAAAGCAACATGAAGAAACCTTTTAATAAACACATTAGATCCACATGCAACATACAGCTTCTATAGTTCAGACTCTCCTTTATATGTGACTATATGACGATAACTATCAATGCATTTTCCCTCTTCAAATACCTCTTTTCTTTTCCTTGCTCATGACAAGGCCTTTTGGAAGCTTGAAACCAAAATATGTTTCTATATCCAAATGCTTTTTGCTTCACCACACTGGCTTTTTATTGCAGGTTTTGCTCGGGGAGAGTGGGAAATGCATGCATGCAATTTTGTTACAGCAGGGACTGTCTTTGTTGGGGAGATTTTCAATGACACAAGCAAAGAGATCAAGGAACAGAAGTGCCTCCCTAGTCTGGTGCCAAGCAATAATGTTATAGCATAGCATAGCTGTAATCACTGAAAATATCCTTGTTTCTTATGGTCATGTAAGAAACTGCAGAGCTGTGGACGCATGTGTTGTTAAAGATTCACTGGTATGAGTCTACAGCGTTTTCATTATCATGGATCATTATGAAGTGCTCTGTTTCTAGCTTTTCATGATCAGGCTGCTGTTGAGGTCTCAGGTTGTTTCATATAAGAAAAGATGACTCCACAGTAGAAATAAGATTTATTGTTTGGGTTTGGTTTTATTTTTTTTTCACTAGTAGATGACAAAAAAAGGCATCAGCTGGTAAAATGGCAGTAAAATTCCGTATCTGTCTTTGGGCATTTGTTTTCTTTGTTTCTGCAAAGCAGGAGAACAGTCTTCAGTTGTTGCCTCTTAGATAGGAAGTCCTTTTGCTTTTCTGGAGTTTACTTGGATTTTAGTAATTTGCTGTCCAGCAACACCAGTTAAGTTGTTACCACCAGCTCTCTACCATCTTCTGCTTATAGGAGCCCTTATTAGAGGTTCAGTCCCTGTTGAAATGGAATAAATGAAGATCACAGGTCTTTCTTCTCTTGTAGACTCCCACCATGGTCATCCCATTGCAGGAGCTTGGCTCAGCACAGTGTTATTGTACCCCCATGGCTGGTCTGATGTGCAACTTCCAGTCAGCCTCCAAAATATTACTGGAAGTCTCTGACTTGCCCACTCAGTGTCATTAATGCAACAAGAAGTCTCCTAAAAACACTAGGACAGAAGGCAGCTAGTCCCATGGGTTCAGAATAGACAGCTATTGCAAAGCTTGGAGCCGGCAGCTCCCTTACGTGGCAGAAATACAATAACTCCTGTATGTTTTTTATCTAGTTTTACTTTGGTCGCAGCTTTTCAGGGTCCTTAATTCCAATCTGAAGCATGCACATAACCATATCGACATCAGGGTAGTTACTCATGTGCTTGAAGAGGATGCTCAAGAAACGTTTTAGTTGTGATTTTCCTAAGGAAGAGCTTTGTTTTATGTAATTTCTTTCCAAAAATAAGAAGATGCCAATAAAAAACAAGAAGCACCCAGTTTGATGTAATCCACCAGAATGTCATTTCCTAACCAAGAAAGATCTTCACTCAATTTTTATTCTGGATGCACTTTTTTTTACTTATAAATCTCCCTTTTGGGACATAACAGCCTTGGCCACAGTGTTTTGAAGTCCTTGTTTCCATTGCAAGTGCTGTCAAACATTGAAAGTGTCTCTGTGATGTGCCAAGAGACATGTGTGAGCCCTCTGCATGGCCAGCACCACACAGGACTACTAGGATAGACTGAAAGATGAGCTCCTCTGATCCTCACCATGGGAACAGCAGTGATCCATGTGATTCCAGCCCTCCCCACTGGGTCTTGAAGCTATTTCCCCAGTGCCACATCCATGCTAAGTCAGTAGGAGCTATGATAAGACAATACTGCCTAGAAAGCCCCAAAACTCTTCCAGTGTTAAGGACTTCACAGAGCACCACAGGAGCATCTAGGTGATAGATTGATAAAAGACATTGCCCAGAAGACCAGAAAAACTCCTGACCATTCCCCTTCTACGGCTACACTGCAGTTACTGATGATTAGCAAAGTGTTACTTACCGCCTCAGATAGATACTTAGGTGCTGAGGCTTCATTTGAAGCTGAAGATGGAGAGAAATTTGTTTGGGATTAACCTGGAGCACTGACTGGCATGAAACAGTGAGACAAAGTGAGTGTGAGTGAAGAAAACTGAGTGAGGCAAAAGTGCAGCAGAAGAGTGCAAAAAATTATCAACAGTAATATATTTTTTTTTCAGCTGTGCTTCTACAAGTAGTGCAAAAACATCAAAAGAATGCATTTTCCATGCAACCTGCTTCTCCAAAATGCCAGGGGAAATAACAGGCCAAAGCTCAAATGCAAAACCCCAATGTTCAGGTCCTCCTTCGCAGCTTCCTGAACATGAACTTATGTATGGGTTATTGTAGGTGGTGTGAGATGCTCATCTCTGCAGCTAGCTGGAATAGGTGATATTTTCTTCCCAGAGGAAATGTTTTGCTTCTTTTCTTTTTACTGGAATGTACAGTTTACCAAACTGGTAAACTTTCCATTTCCCTTTTTCTGTGTTCTGATAAGAGAAAAGGACCAAACAACCTTGTTTTTAAGTAAGCAGATATGATCAGCCAAAATTAAAACAAAGAAGAAAGATCAAATGCCCATAAGGAGCAAAGTTGTGAGTGGAGAATTTCAGATTATTTTTTGTCATTTTAGATCAGTTCAATGCAAAGCCTAGAAAAAGAGTATTTTTTACTGAATTTTTTGTTCATGTACCTCTCAGGTAGGCTTGCATTACTTCCAGTGAGAGGCTATTCTGCAGCTGCATTGATCTCAGTTTTCTTTTAGGCTGTTTGTCTTAAGATTCATACTAAATATCCTTTATCAGGATCTAATACCATTTCTTGTAGTTATGCCTCCTACAGTCATGCTAACCAATTTCTCTTCCCCCTGTACAAATTATAGTCGTTTCCCTCCTTTAGTCATCACTTAGATCTTTTAGGACTTGCTTACATTATGGAAATCTGCGCTAGTATAATTACATCAAAACAGTTATCCAGCACAAGCTTTAGTATGAGTGAATAAAGTGAGAACAAAATCAGCACAGCTTCATTTTGGAAAGTCTGTTTAGGTACTGGAAAAACATCAACTCAGCCAATATTTTTTGCTTTTCTTTGGATTACTTTTGCTTTTAATTGCCATTGACAATTGTGATTAAATTTAACATCCTTCACTGTGTTTGTAGCCTAAACTTTGTGCTATTGTGCTCATACATGAAAGAATGGAAGTGAATGTTACTGGGGAAGGCTGAAACAGAATTACTGAAGGTGTTTGCAAAACTGACAAGGAAACTCTCTTCTTCCTTGGCTGTTCATTTTTAACCTGTCTGCCCATTTAAATTATTAATAACTTTATTATAGTAAAATTCTCATGTCTGTTCTATAAAACACAGTTTCCATACCAGAGCATGCAAAATCCCATTTGCTAATTATTGTAGTTATTCTAAGATTGGCACACAATATAATGCACTGATGGAAAACGACAATAATTAATTATTGCATTTACTCCAAAATTACAATCAGTAATTACTGCTCTGAGACTGAATTCTATTCAGCAATATTTGGAACTTGTTCTTCCTCAAAGCAGGGCAGCTTTTCAGGAGTATTGCTGTGTTTGCATCTAAATGAGTCCATGTAGGTCACTAACGGATCCGCACTATTTGTCATGAGAGTGATAGAGCAGCACAATGCAATGCCATAACACTTTCC